CTCGTTCGTAAACTAGTTTTCGGGTTCCGTTAGAGCATTAACAAATGAAGTAGGAACTTTCTTCGGAGTCAGAATGAATGGGGGTGCTATCCGAGGGCCTCCAAATAAAAGAGTTGGATAGCAGAGATCCCTCATAGCGTCAAAACTTCTCTGTATGTATGCAAGTAAGATCCACAACGCACTGAGTGTGAACTGTCTAATTTTCGAGGACAACCTGAAGATATGGAGAACGATAGTAATCTACACAAGAGCATTCGAAAACTGAATGTGTCGAAAGAACGCAAACTACCAATGAATGGGACCGTGCTAGTATCTTTAGGTTGGTCAAGGTGAAACCATTACATACTGCATGGGAACATTGCCCCCTGTCAACGACAGTACCATCCAGGATCTCGGAATGCACGTAAATGATAGCTCAAACACTAAGGACTTACACGGCTTCAGCTATAAGCGAAGACAGACGGTTCATCTGAACCCTCGGACATTCCTCCTCGGATCAGAAGAAGAATCATCTATCGGGGTTAATGAATGAGTTCATACGACGACTGTTAGTATACGGTGCACCATCCTATTTTCCTGGCATAAAGGGTGGACTTTTCGAGCCAGGGAATATTTAGCAAACTGGAGGCCACCTACGTCGACAGATGCTTCACCTTAAACAAATGTAAGCCAGAGTACTAAGGAACACAAGTGAACCTGATTTTTGCATACGAGGTGGTCTGCGGTCGATCTTTGACGCACTCTGTTCACCCGCGCGAATACACCATACCAGGGACACATCGGTGCAAGATGAACAAATCCACGCTTCTAAAGACCCCGGAGGTCATTTCACTGCTCTTCAGGATAGTAACTAACTGAAAAGGCTTAGTGACTGATATCACTGAGGCCCCCAGGGTTAGGAATTACAAACAGGCGCTAGACTAACAGCAGTGGAAGAACGATCCGAAACCCGGTGCTGCCTACTCCCGTCTTGCTCCCTCCCACCCGATATAGGCGACTGGGTGTGGTGTCAGTCATAGCTGGGTCAGAGGGTCCGGTGATCTTACGCTCCGATAATGGAACCAAAACCGGTAGTAGAGAGTACAAGGAAGGGGGCCCAAATGGCGGTTGTTTTCGGAAGAGGAATTTCATCCTATGGTCTGTGCAAAATCTGATGAAAATGTCAGTCACACTGCGCCCCCCAGGTACACTCATGTGCGCACACGTGTCTAACTGCGCACACATACAGGCGAATCACAATCCAGCTTTTTGTGTTGGTATGAGGTCGTCAGTAGTCATCATCTGAATTCCACTTGACCTCACCCCTCCCTGATCAAATTCAACTGTCGTAGCACTCACAACCACACAAAGGTCAAGGAAAGTCTACCAGTGGCACCCGCGGTGAATCACCAACTGAAGCATCCTGAAGTGAAAGATTAAGGAACCAAACCCGGTCAGAACTAATTAGAAACTCCCCCAATCCACCAGTCCAAGATTTTGACAACCACACTAACCGACAAGAGCCGCTAATTGACACCCAAAACTGGTCTAGTGTGATAATCTGAAAAGGACGTACTGATTGGTTCCCCGTCTGTCTCACAACCTGGCCAATTTGGAGGTGACCTTCTCACTTGGCCTGATGAAGCTTTTGTGTCAAGAGCGGAACGTTGCCCAAATAAAAACTACCTGTTGTTTGCCAAGCTAATTCTGAAACGATGACCTCTCAATCGGTTCCAAACTTTTTCCAATTGATCGATAACCCAGACTTGCTTCTCATTCAGTTGTCATGCCATTTCACCAGCCCCGATTCAAGCCCTGCACATCTGTCAGGACTTTGATACACACAGTCGTTCTTTCAAGTCAAGGCTACGGGCTACATACGGTACACTGCCAGAGTAACAGGCCTTACCACACAGCTATGGCGTACGGTGTGTGATAGTCTGTCTTTGGGGGCTTGAAAGCGTTGGAAGAAAAAAGACGCGCGGACGACCCAGAACTATTGCCTACCTGAACGCCCATCAAGACGCATAAGACCGAGTTATCAAGGAAGGACCTTTGAGACAAGGAACAGGGAAATTTTGATGCCCTAAGATACCTTAAGAACCGTAGTGTTTCTGGCAGCCTCAGATCCTTTGGTACACTCTGGGCCGCAAGACATCACATTTATAGTCTTGGACACTGTTTCCATAAGCTTGGCCGAAAGTGTGAAGAAGCAAAGTAAGTACATTCAAGTGCAAGCTAAGATGACGTTAAGCTGAGACTCAGCTGAATCACTCGATCATTATATTGCCTAAATGGATTTAATGAACAATGACCGACGTGTGTTTCAGTTAGCAGTACTTTTGAGGTATCGAAGTATATGCTCTGGACACAACACACTAGCCACTTCGAGGAAACTCGTGAACGGTTATTATCGGAAGACGAGAGAACCCTGAAACGGGATATGGCCTGAACTGATTTGAGTCAGTTTGAGAATGTCGTACAGTAGCTGTCAACTTTCAACCGGCCAACAAAATCTGATTCTGTACAGCTAGTACTCGGAACATTAGAACCTAATCGCAGACGAGCAATTCATCCGGTTACGTGCTGCCTCTGTGGTAATTGACATTCCTCCCCGGTTGACTGCCATCATAAGCAGACCGAGTGCCACCGAATGTCATCTAAACCGTGCCNAAAAATACCATCCATCAATCAGGCCTATTTCACGAGTGAAGAATATTGTGCAGTTTGCTTGGGCGGCGTTAAGTAAAACTCACACCTGACCAGTACTGGTTACCCTAAACATGGCGATGGAAGGATCACCAAAATGTGCTGAAACCGATGCAGCCGTCACCATACTGTGCTGAGCAACTCTCCAAATGGAAATCTGTCCAACTTGGGTTCAAATGAAGCATAAGATTGATGGGACTTTGCCTACCTGACGATCCCAAAGAAGTGGAAAACCGGTCGTGGACTGTCTCAAAGTTTTCAGTAACCTTGTGAGTAGTGTGTTACGTTGAAGGCCTTCCAAGAACTCCTCCCACACAGTACTCCTCTAATACACTCGCCTAGTGGAATAAACTCAGCTCCAGCACTTTTTCGGATGATACTTGAGGATTTGATTAAGGGACATCCCATTTGCCCACAATTATCATGACAGCATGCTTAGTTCCGGACGAACTGAGGGGGGAGTTTCACGAACGTTGACTACTGTGTTGGGTAAACTCCAGAAGAGTAGATTGAAAATAAGAACATCACAGGACGAGTTATTTTTCGACTCTGTTCGTTATCATCTCGATAAAACTGGTTTGCACATATAAGATAATAAGGTATGGAATACAGTCGGTGCCCCAGAACCCAAAAAGAAGCTAAACACAGATCGTTCCCAATGACGTTTTCTCGTTATCACCGCTTTCAACCCCACGCACCCTCGTTATAAGAAACGTTTTATAAGTTACTGTATGTTATATCCGACTGCGTCGCCAATCTGCCTGCTGTCCCCGCTCCAGTGTTTAGT